AAGAGGCTGCTCAGACCTCTTCCCCTCACATACTATGAAAGAGGAAAGGCCTAATCTGATTCCAAGTCAATCACTACAGCAGCTCCCCAAACTTGGGTACTGACCGTCTCACCACAGAGACAGAGAGGGGTAAGGCGGGATAGGACACTTGCAGCTCTCCCAAATACCCATTGTTATCACCCACTTACACTCCTGAACATGTCCAAGCAAGGAGAAGCTACAGATTCTTACCTAGTAGTTAAGAGATGTTATAGAAGGAAGCACAGGGACTTTCATCTGCTTAGCTTCCAGGAATTAAGGGTTTATTTACTTCTTCCATTGAGAAAACTATGAAAAGGCCAGAAAGGCAGGGGAAGCACTGAGATTTTTCCACCACTAAGTTCCCTACAAATTTTCCATTTATGTGTGAGGATCCTGGAGGGCCAGGAAGCAAAGAGAAAAGTTTTCCCAAACCTATGCATCTTTCCAGGGAAGTGCACCCCAAATTCACTGCAGCAAGGGTTGTCTGCAAGCTCAATCCTGCCCCCTTCCTATACAAGTCCTCTTCCTCCAGTAGCAGCATGTTCCCTGCAGCACAGCCATCCTCCTGCCCTAGGCTTGTGCTGTCCCAATGCACAGGTCCCCAATTCTCTTAGGGATCCCCATGAAAGATGAATATGCCTTGTTTCTTTGGGGAGAGTGAGAGTTCAGCACCTGGAGAACATGTGTTGGATGATGTAGTTCAAAGCACTGAAATTTACTTCACCTTTAACCAATGGAACCCAAGAAAATGAACAAGCTGAAATTGCCTAGAACAGCAACATTGCATGTATGTATGTATGTTGCAATACTAGGCACTTTCAGCTTGTACATTTTCTTGTCTGTGGGTATATTATATATACATATACAAATATATACATATTGGGCATGTCTACATGAGACATGTTGATGCACATTAGCCTAATTTAATGCGGTCCTTAATGCACATTAAAAATGGTGAAATTAGGCTAATCGTACCTAAATTTGATGCCTACAAATTAAGCTAATTGTGCCTAAATTTGATACCTGCAAATGCAGGTATCAAATTTAGGCACAATTAGTTAAAGTGCATTAATGTACATGTAGATGTGACTTGGCACTAACTTTAGTGCTGGGTCTGCCCAGCCACTAGGGGCACATGGCAGGGCTGCAGGGACTTGAAACTAACTTTAGTGCCAAGTCTCTGCACATGTAGACACCTGCCAAATATCGCTCAAGGCACATTTAGTCATGCTTATATGCACATGTAGACATGCCCATATACAGTCATGGAATCATAGCAAATTAGGGTTGGAAGGGACTTCAGAAGGTCATCTAGTCCAACCCCTGCTCAAAGCAGGACCATCCCCAACTAGATCATCTCAGCAAGGGCTTTGTTGAGCTGGGCCTTAAAAACCTCCAAGGATGGAGATTCCACCACCTCTTTAGGTAACCTGCTCCAGTGCTTCACCACCCTCCTGGTGAGAAAGTTTTTCCTAATATCCAATCTAAACCTCCCATGCTGCAACTTCAGACCATTGCTTCCTGTTCTGTCATCTATCAGCACTGAGAACAGTTTAGCTCCAAACTCTTTGGAACCACCCTTCAGGTAGTTAAAGGCTGCTATCAAATCTCTTGTGTATTCTCTTCTGCACACTAAATAAACCCAGTTCCCTCAGCCTATCCTCATATGTCATGTGCACCAGCCCCTGAACCATTTTCATTGCTCTCTGCTGGACTTTCTCCAAGTTGTCCACATCATTGCTGACACGTAGAAGGTGCATGCGGGGGCACGTGCATCCCCTGAGATTGGAGGTGCACCCCCTGTAAGAAGTGCTGCTGATGCTGCCGGCAGCACCTGCAGGTAGTCACCGCTCGCCACGCCCCTCCCCCCACCTCGCTGCCGACACCACCAGCAGCATCTGTGGGCTGTCGCCAGTTGCCACTGGCAGCACAGCCAGCGGCATCTGCAGGTGGTCACTGACATCTGGTTGGCACTTGCCACCCTCCCCCCCCTCCCCGCCGACACCACTGGTGGTGTCTTTGGCTGGTCACTGCTTGCTGCTGGCCGCTGCCGACACAGCCAGCAGCGTCTGCGGGTGGTCACCAACCGCTGATGGGTGCTTACCACCCTCCCCGGCCTGCTGCCGACACCGCTGCGGCCGCCTGCGAGAGCTCCGTTTGCCACCACCGTGCCCCTGACGCTGCCGCCTGTGGACAGGCACTGTGCCCCCAGCCTCCAGGGGCACGTGTTGTTCATGGTCTGCATCCTTTCTATAGTGAGGGGAGGGGCAAAACTGTACTCCAGATGTGGCCTCACCAGTGGAGAATAGAGAGGAATAATTACTTCCCTCAGTCTGCTGGCAATGCTTCTATTGAAGCAGGCCAGTATGCTGTTAGCCTTCTTGGCAACAAGGACACAGTGCTGACTCATATCCATCTTATTGCCCACTGCAACACACAGATCCTATTCTGCACAGTGCTGCTTAGTCAGTCAGTTCCCAGACTGTAGCGGTGCATGGGATTCTTCCATCCTAGGTGCAGGAATCTGAACTTGTCTTTACTGAACCTCATGGGATTCCTTTTGGCCCAAACCTCCAATTTGTCTCAGTCACTGTGAATCGTGATTCAATCCTGATACAAGAAAATGTATGAGAAATGTATAAGAAAATGTATATACTGGAAGTATGTTTTATCTACATACACACACACAATGACTCAGGTATGAGAGCCTTATTGAAATTAAGCTACAAAGGGTTGGAATGTTGCAACCCCAGAACGACCCATAGAAACCTTTTATGAACAAACTTGCAACACATGATGAATATGTAAACTGACTGAAACGGGGGGGGGGGGGGAAGAAGGGCAATAGCGGGGGGGGGGGGGGAGAAGAAGGGCAATTGTGTGCTGCCTAGAATTCAGTCAGAACACAAGAAAACAGGATATAGAAATATGACTAATGAAAAAGGCCACTATATATACCCTGATACAGATTACTGGGCTGGCTGCAGGAATTACTGGAAAAATTTCTATTGTCTGTTAGAGAGGTCAGACTGGGAATCCTTACAGTCTGTTGACATATTTCAAAGCCTACTCCTTCCACTGTCCCCAAAATGCTTACATCAAAGCAATGGTTATGATTAAAAAAAGAAAAATGTTTCCCAAACAAATGACTACTTTGTAGTCTTTCAGTGTTTCAATTTACAAAAGAATTTTTTTTTCCTGTGTGTTCTGTACTGCAATAACACCAGGCAAGTATATTATCATATCAAATTTCTTGCTATTGGATTAATATGCTTGTCCATTTGACTTAATTTCAAAGCTTTTTTTTTTTTTTTTTTTACAGTCTTTCAGATCTTGTCATCACATCGCCATGTGCATTAATGGAAATGCCAGAAATGTGTCATACGAGAGAAAATACATACTCTCCCATATGAATATGCATGAGTTAGCCAGACTGGCTAGATACAACAGTTCAATACAAATATTAATATTTGTTGCCACAAAGGGAGATACAAACATATTAAGATTCTGATCATATAGCATATCTGTTTTTCAGGAGCAGAACAATTTTCAAGGCAGTTTTCTTATATTTGACCCACAATTGGTCATTTGTTTACATTACAAAGAATGATTTTCTTTTTTGTTTGTTTAATGATATAGAAATGTTTTGCTTAAATGCTGGGATTTTATTAGTTGTTAGGCACCTGTTTAATATAAATAATTACATATGCCCATGCCTATAATATTATCAAAAAAGTCAATTCATTCTATTATAGTTCACAGAAAGTTTTTCTAGTGTAGTTGCAGGTAAATATACATATGAGGAGTAAATGAATCACTGAGTAAATATGGCACTTTTACATATGCAATCTTTCCTGGATTTCAAATAGTACTAGGAAACAATCTGTACTTAGATAGAGCATTACTAGAATACTGTAATACAGTTTTAAAAACACACTCTACAGACTAGATATTAAGTATAGAAAAAGTCAACAGTGCATTTACCTGAGTTTGTTTCATAACAATAATTTGATATTTTATCATTCACTGTGACCCTAAGGACTTACCTTACACAAAAATTGTGCCACTTAACAATACCAGTATAGTTAAAACAGTACAACTCTCTTAGTGTGGATACAGTTATATCTGTATAAATTGCCCAATGCCAAAATACCTCATTCCTGTGCTGGAATAGGAACAAGGTACACCAGTATTAGGTGCTTCTATACCCGTACAACTGGGTCCATACAAAGTTTGCACTAACTATAATCAGTTAAAAAAATCATGCCCTTAATTGACATGTTATATCAGCAAAAGAACAGTGCAGACCTCACCTTAGATTTAGGTGAGAGGGTGCACAATTTCAATTCAGAAAACATGTCACAAAATTCAAGGGAAACAACATAAGACACATAATAAGTTATGTTTTTGAAACACTGCGTCTAGAATCATAGACATTTTAAAGATTTTCCCCCCCAAAACCCTAAATATAATCCCCAATTTCAAATCTAAGTAAGATTTTACTATACAGATTTCACTGATTACTTGGACATTTTATACAGTTTACATTCATCAGGAAATACAGCACTTGGTTTACATAATTAAGTTAAAATGAGCAATGAAACATTTCTCTCCCCCACATTACATCAAACTGAAGCACATTTAGCATACATATACTGCCAAGCAGTTCCTATAAGTGCATTCCATATATGAGTACGAGCTTTTGCAATAGCCATATCAATATTAGAATACTGAACAAAAAATAAACCCCTTTAAAGAAGCTTGTTTTGATTCCTTCATGCCTGACCCATCTCCAATTAATCTTATGGATCATGGATCTTCTCCAGAATATTCCCAAGAAGCAGAAGTTAAGTCTGACTTTAGCACTACAGTGAGTCCACTAACTGGACTACATAGTACACTTTGGATTCATGAGAAAAATCATATTTATCCCATCTCACCATCCCATTTTATCAGACACATAAAGCAACAACATGCTTTTGCACCAAGACCCCAAACTTAGATTAGTGGCAGTTCACGACAGAAAACCAATGCTGGCAGTAATGAAAAATCTAAAAGCAATCACCCTGACAATCACCTAGCTACTGTTTCATGTACCTTTTAACAATTAGCAACCAAGACCCTGCAATTTTATAAATAGCGTTACCACCTGCATAAGGAAGGGCTTATTTCTAGCTATCCACACCAGGCAATTAACCGGTGCCTGCATTATGATTTAAATACACTGTACAGTGGATGAGGAGACCTCCAGGGAATAGTTTATTATAAAAATGATTATTTTTATTAATTAAGCAAAAATTAGCTTTTGAGTAGCACACAGCATTAAAATGGGTAATACCTGCCAAGCTTCCTTAGAAGAAAAGAAATGACAGGAGTAGTCAACAAAATAATTTAACATAGATTAGCTGATATAATTTCCAGCTTGATGCACAGTCATGTAAGTGTATTATGGTTCATTACATTATTTTAAACAAACAGACTTCCAATCATATAATTTCCAATCTAATTATTAGGTAGAAGATTAAAACAAACTCACTGTCATCACTATGCCCTGCTATATTGAGACTTCTGAAATGGTAATATTTGATTATTTTTTTTAATTTAATTTGGTTTCTGGAGATATGTAAATGTTCCTCTACCAGGCCTGGTAACATGCAACCAAGCTCAAGTACTGTACATATTAGCTGCCAAAATACAATTTTGTTCTCTTGTCCAAAGTTTCACAGACTTGCAGTTCTCTAGAATTCCAGTCCTACAAGACTGAAAGTACCCTTGGGGAAAATGAACTTAGTAGGAGTCAGGAGCACTTATCTTGTAGAACTGGACCTTGGTTGGGGAATAGATGCATGGAGCTTTATGACCATGGTAGAACAGTATGTATATATTAATCTTTGCAGAATATACACATCTGGATGGAGATTTTTTAAATAGACTTATTGAGCTCCCACTAAGGATTGAGGGTGCACACCATATGCAATCAGCCCCCTAAAGAGAACCTCTTCAGAGATTGACAGTGATGAAGGAGACATTATGTTCATCTATTAAAACGTATACAACCCAAGGCATGCAGCTTGCAGTGCCCCCTGCCCCAATTGATTCTAGCCAAAATTAAAAAACAGCTGATAAAACCATTTGCTTTAGCCAGTACAAAACAATATTACAGTATTGCCCTTGTCATCAGGGCAAGACAAACTTAAAAATATTTTAAAACAGTGAAAAAATACAAGAACATTTTATTAAAAAATATACATACTTCTTACTCCATATTTGTTTGTACAGATAATTTTGTGTCAAAAGGACAAAAGGAAAAAATAAAATAAACACAAAAGTAAATGCATGATCAAACTAGGCCATCATTTAGTTACTGTATTTGGTAGAAGCACGTTTCTGTAACTTTGAGGAAAAGCCAGTAAATTATTCAGCTTTCATTTGCTCCCTGACATCAGAAGGCAAAGTTTCAAACAAGGTGTCCTCTACAATCAAGCCAATTCGCTTCAAAGCCCTACATTCACCAAGTTCAGGTGGGAGAATTTCAAAGTGATTGCCTTTAATATCCAAGTAGGAGAGGAATACTAAATTACCAATTTTAGGTGAAAGGACTGACAAGTTATTTTTCCCAATTTTCAGAGTCTTGAGTTTTTTGCAAAAGTACAGTTCATCTGGCACACTCTCTACTTTGTTACAAGTGATGGAAAAATACTGTAAACTTTGCAGCACTCCTATTTCTGGTGGAATAAATCGAATGTCGTTGTAAGACAAATCTAAGTATCTAATTTTGTTGCATAGGAATAGGTGGGATGGAAGAACCTCTATTTTGTTATGACTAAAGGAAAGACGTTCCAGGCTAGTAAGCTTCTTTATATGCTCTGGGATATAGGTTATACTGTTATACCACAGCTTTAAGATTGTAAGTTTTCTCAGATGTTGAAAACTGACTATTTCTTCAATTGATTTGAGGTTGTTTTCCTTTAAATCTAACTCCTGCAAACTGAGAAGGCTAAAAACAGCATGAGGTATGCGCTCCAAATCACAATGAACCAACTCTAACTCAGTCAAGTTAACCATTTTCTTCAGGTTATTGAACATCACTAACTTGGTGCCATCATTATAGATGCACAGTTTTTGAAGGTGACTTGAAACATCAACTGCAGATTGTGGGATTTTGGACACATTGCTTTTAATGTAAAGAATTTTAAGGCTTTTAAGGTCCCGAAAAGACTCAAGAGTAATGTTTTTGGAAATATCATGACTCAGAGAGCCAATTAAGTAGAGCTCTTCCAAATTTCGGAGTCCATACATCCAAGGCGGAAGCTCTCTGATGTCATCAAACTTGACACTCAAGATCTTGAGATTCTCCTTCAGAAATGCCAGTGCAGCACTGTGGATCTTCACAGAACACTGGTGTAAGGAGAGCTCTTGGAGATTGTCCAGCTGCGCAATAGTCGCTGGTATCATAACATTATTAATGATTTCAAGCTTTAGAGACTGAAGCTCTGTAATTTCAAAAACTGTGTCTGGAAGTCCTGAGAGCATAAAAAGCTGCAGTTCCAAATGGTTATGGACATTTGTTTGTAGCCTCTGCCTCAATTTATCTGCCGTCCACTCGTTGTTTAAGTTCAGCTGTTTCAGTTTGTTTTCACTGACTTCAGACAGGAACACAGCAAATCTCTTTGAATAAAGAGGGTCATACTGATCTATCATGTGAAGCATAAAAGCAAAGTCATTTTTAACATCTGGGATATCATCAATCCCAGTCTCCTGGCGAACATATTCAAAGGAATATTCCTTCAATGAACGATAGAAGAGCCAATATAAAGTGTAAAGGCACGTTAGTCCATAGATGCTTACGAAGCACAGGTAGCAGAAGGAAAGTTTGGAGAAAAGATGTGCCATAGTATGATTACAGGAAAAATTCTTATAGCCTGTCATGTCCTGTATGTCAACATTACAGTCTACTGTAAACTGAACTTCTGAAACCAATGCACTGTTGTAAGCAATAATGATAAGAAATTTAATAACTTTAAGTACAGTCTGGCGAACATACATAGCATAGAGCAGATCACCTTCCTCAACATGCAGTCGAAATTTCTTCACCTTTTCAAACAATGCTTTTGCCTGTTCTCCTTCTTTTTTATCCAGAGCCCCTACTGTCCCCTTATCCACAACTAACTTTTCCGGTATTGATTTCAAGGACTGAGTTTTGACCAAAGTGCCTTCCGTGCTAGGTTGGATAGTATTTGACCTGCTTATATTGTTCTTCCTGTTATCTTTTTCTTCAGAGTCTTCTCCAGACACTTCAGATAAGGCCCTTGTTGTCCAGGGAGAGTCAAAACATTTCCCCAGTATTGAAATGAAGTGTTCAATTTTTGAGCTTGATCCAGGGAATTTGAACCAGAAGTTACTACACAGCATGAACACCAGAGTATGTATAAGGACAAGGTAAGGGAAATACTTTGCATACCAATGCAGGGCACGTTCATAGCACATTTGGTTTATAAAGCTATATTGCTGAAGGTCTAAGTCTGTCTTAAGTCCCTTCATTTCAACAGTGGCAGGAGGAGTGGATGGTTTAGGTGGAGGAAATAGGGTTGTATTGGGGACTGTAGTGGATACATTAGGACTGTAAGAGTCATTCTGCCAAGGCTGTACTCTCTTTGGAAGGCATATTATCTTGTCTTGCATGACCTGAAACAGACAAAAATTATTTTTTCAAACTATTTACTAATGATGTCTAGTGTGATCACTGTTACATCAGCAGCACCATCAGATAACTGATGTATCCTTGGAAGAGCATACACCCAGTTCTATTTCAGGGATTAGGTTCAAAGTCTATATGAGCATTATTTGTTCCAATGACATTCTCAATAATAGGCCAAGAACTAGATAGATCATTCCAAATACTTCTTTACATAAATATAAATTCACATGCAACAAGCCTCTGAAAGAGTAGCCCTGTCTTTGGCTGTGTCTACACTGCAAAAAGGAAGTGTGCTCTTAATTTGGATTGCCCAATCCACGTTAGTTAACTAACAGGGTAAACTACAAGATGGGGTAAAAGGGAATAGCTACTGTGAAGGTAAAAGAACTTCACTGCTTACACCAGTTGATAATCTGGCCCATGATCAAAACAATATTTTTACACATTTGCTAGAAATAGAAATAGAAAAATTTGCCTGTTTTGTTTGTGTTGTTGTCACACTCCACTTCCCTATGCTTAATTCAGTCAAACAGTTAATAGGCAAGTGACAGAAATTATGCTTCCTGCGCTTCACCAAATACTTGGCTGCTGGCCCAAAAAGTGCCCTTGTGAAGAGAGATTTGCAACGTGCACCTCAGTTTTTACTTCATACCCAAAAGACTTTTAGACTATAGAATACAGGCAAGACCTACCACATGCATAGTGCCCAATTTGGGATATTATCATTTAAATGTTTAGGCAAATACTCTATTGTGTACATGAGTAGATTTCCACTGAAATCAAGGGAGCTCTGCCAATCTGAGCCAACAAAGAACAACGTCCCTTTAACTCCACTTCTGAATAATCCTAGAGAATCCCAGATCCATATTAGAAACATTATTGGATCCAACAGGATCAGTAAGAGTGAACCAGAGGTCACAACCTATCACCAAACATGGCCTGTCACAGACTGTGGAGGTGGGGGGGGTGGGAGAGTTGTCTTCCTCTGTAGTGTGGAGCATGGTCTACTAACAGACTACTTCTGTTCTCAGTGGTGGCAGATGACAGAACAAGGAGCAATGGTCTCAAGTTGCAGCAAGGGAAGTTTAGTTTGGATATTAGGAAAAACCTTCTCACTAAGAGGGTGGTGAAGCACTGAAATGGGTTACCTAGGGAGGTGATGGGATCTCTGTCCTTGGAGGTTTGCACTGGCAGGAATGATCTAGTTGGAGATGGTCCTGCTTTGAGCAGGGGGTTGGACTAGATGACCTCCCTCAGGTGCCTGACAACCCTAATTTGCTATGATTCTAGGACACTTCCATGCCATTGCAGTGGCTGGGTATTGGCAGTGCCCTTACTGTCTCCTGTTTTTACATATGTCATGTTATAGGTGATCCTGGTGTTTCAAATATCATTCCTTCTAGTTATGGGTGAGGGTCTGGGAATTACCTGGGTTAGCAATTGCTGCAAATGCATTGATTGGACTTGCTGGCCAAGGAGGACCCCTCCAGAGTTATGTACCTATGAGCTCTGCTAAGAAACAGAACCATGTAGAAAAGGGTAGGAGTGAAACAGGAAAATACAGGACATGTTTCATATGCTCCATATTCCAGATTTCTGACTGTTCTATAGGCTTGGGAAAGAAGTCGCCCTGCTGCCAGCCTTTATTTCCCTTATTGCACAGTTGGGTGCAGAGTGGATAGGTGATGAATGGATGGGTGAATGAAAGGCTGGGAACACACACTGCACCAAGCAGAAGTTTTGAAATCAAGTACATCCGACCTGGACATTGTTTTCTGTTCCTCCTTAGGTTTTGGCTCTACAGCAACATTTAATTAACCCAGAATAACAGTAACATCAGTTGTTTATGTACAAGCATCCTCCATGATGTTATGGACTGGAGGAGGCCTAGCTATTAGTTGTGGGTGGTCCTGAATAAAATAAGAATGTTCCTGCCAAATCTATTCAAAACACGGTGAGAAAAAAATATCAAGGTCTGCTAAATGCAAACAAGACAAAAGGAAAGTCTTAAGAGTGTTTTAAATGATGATAACAAAGTGAACAAACAAGATTTGAAATCTAGTCAGCTTTGCTATGCAAAACTGTCATGAAAACTGACCAAAAGGCAAAAGGACCAGATCCCCAGCTGACAGTAGACCAACTCTGGTGATATCATAGAATCATAGAAATTAAGGGCTAGAAGGGACCTTAAAAGATTATCAAGTCCAACCCATGATGTCAATGGAACAACACCTATTTCAGTGGTTCTCAACATTTTTAGACTCAAGGTGACCCTTGGAAAATGCCAGCTCCTAGTTTTCATTCGTTTTTGACTGCAGAAAAATAACAGAGTGAGTCTTCTGTTGCAAGGAATTCAGAAAGACCACAGCAGGTCAGCATGTTTTTAATACTATATATTCCTATTTGAAATCTCTGGGTTTATCTTGTGAATCATGTTTGCACACCTTACAGTGCTAACACTGCATGGCACTCTGCAGCACCCTTGAAAGGATTTCAAGGCACCCCAGGATGCCACATTGCCCTGGTTGAGAATCACTGACTATTTAAAATAGTTAAGGTCTGCTCCATGGTGTTTTACTGATCTATTCAAACCACTGAGGCCTGCTGAAACTTGCAATGATTACAGGATAAAGCAATATATGGTACTGTAATATCCTTCTAATAAAGGCTGTAACTGATTCTGTCATTTGAACACCCCTAATAACAGCATTTTAGATGACACTACTTTTAATTTACCTGTAACGTACATCCAAACACACCAATCATCAGCATGGCTACCGAGAGATAGTCTGTAAACACATCCCACCATGGCTTCAGGACCCTGAATGCTGGCTGCTGCTCAGAAAACTGACGAAATTCAGTTACAGGAATCATTTTTTCTGAAAGAGAGTCAAGCATATCCATTGTTTAGTCTTTTCATACCATTTTCTTCCATTGACAAATCTCAATAGCCACAAAAGGGTATTTTATGCTATCCTCTTCCATTTTGTGCAACTCACTGGAAAAAAATATCAGAGACATTTTGATTCTCTGTATAAGAGAGGACCAGGGACTAAATTAGCTTTTATATAAGTAGACATGCATTTCTGCATTGGCTGCCATTGCTTGCAATGGGTAATGCCTCTCCTTTTGGTACTTCTGATAAATAAGCCACTGCTTTAGGTGTCTAACTTCATGTATGCAGCTTTGAAGATTTTGCCCTTACTATCAAAGATCTTACTTTTTATGCAGAGCTGATAGCTGTGTTTAGAGGCAGTGTTACATTCACATGCAATGAACTAATAATGGTTTCAAGGATGATTTGGTACCTTTGTATTTACATCTAAAAGCACCTTGAAATCTATTATGATTTGAACATAAGCAGCTAAAGCAGTTCAGTTAAACAGAACTACAGGCATTATGGACAGATTGAGGGCCTTATCCCAACCTTAGATGTCTGGGTTTGCATCCTCACATACAGCGTAAAATCAGATGACATGTGGACAGACAGAGTAGCTGATTTTAAAGAGTAGTGTACAAATGCAGCCAAGTGATCAAAATAAGGCATCCCTATGATCAAGTAGGCTATGTCAGAAAAGTGATTGAAGTGGAAATCATAACAGAAGCAGACCCAATGTCTATTTTAAAAATGTTCTTTCAACTGAAAATGTAAAAGTCCTTCAGAACTGACACCCTGACAATGGAACCATTATGACAGAAGCATTGCTTTACAAAGCCACATTACAAATCCATGGGTTATTATGCAATGTTCACACAAGCAGGCCAGCCCTACTGCAGCAGCAGTGATGGCATGCAGCTCTTTATCAAATTATGCTAAGTCAGGAGTGGCCTTCTGATACTTGTATGCTTATCTTGCAAAAATGCGGCACAGACACCAGGGAAAATCTGCCTCTCTGAAGAGGAAGAGCTGTAGTGCACTACTGCACATGCAAATGACTAATGGGACAAGCCTCTGCTCTGCTTTGCTTTGGGGAAACACTGGGGGGGAAAAAATCAATCCTATAAATTAAAACTGCCCCTTCCAGTTTTAAATTCCATGACCAGCACTTACTCAGCAGAGCTCTGTCCACTTCGTATCCCCTAACTGGCAGCATTATGGTGCCTGTTATATTGAACAGGGCTGGGCTGTCTAACTTCTAAGCAGCTGGGGGACAAACGCCCTGCAAGCCACACCAGCAGAGGCTGCTCCCATAGGCTGCATCAGGGTAAGCCACAGGGCTCCCAGGCCACGTTTCCAAGCACTGCACGGGAACCTCCCTGCCTGCAGCTCCACTGTACACCCATGCCTGCCCCCCTCCCCCACACTATTTACACTAGGTGCCATGAACACCCTTCCCCCCACTGCTGTGCCGTATGCTCAACTCACCTCCTCCTGCTGCTGTACAACATGCCCATATGGTCCCAGACTCACCCTCAGCTCCCCAGACTGCAATGAGCTGCACTACCCCACAGCCTGGGGCTGAGGCAGGCAGCAAAAGCTGGAGGACGGAGGGGGAGCACAGTGATGCCAGCTGCTGTTGCAGCTGGACTGATGGGGGAGAGCAGTGGCTAGGCAGGAGCCTGGAGTTTGAAAGTTAACCTCTTGCAGGCTGCATACAGCCCACGTGCTGCCAGTTGGGCAGCCCTGACAGGAAATATTGAGCAAGAATCAACAAATAATAAAAACTCTCCCTGCCATCCTCCCGTCACAGAATTACACTATTTTGTCACCCTTCATTCCCAGGAAGATACCTTCCTTTTTCTTTATTTCCAAATCTAAATGACTTTGGTTTACTATTCCTTTCTTATCAAATGTTCTATAAAGATATACATTCCTTAAGGGTATATGAATACAATACAATAGTAATATATCAGTTATCACTTGGCAATAACTCTTGAATCTTTTCAGATTTTGTGACTGCTGGAAGCTGCCACATTGTTGTTAAGAATAGTCCAAGCATTCAAAAATCTATTCAAGCCCTGAACCCCAAATGCCAAAATTAGCTTATAAATCATGAGGTATGTATATGCATGTGCTTTTAATTGCAGTTTTGGGGTTCTTTTTATTTAGGGTTTTCATTCTCAAGCTTGTCTCTGCAACAATAGAGAAACTGGAACTTATTTTTTTAATAAAAGTGAAGATTCTTATATAATCCCATGACTCCTACACATGAAAAGCACTAGGAACCCAACCCACAAAGGTGTTTCACCATTACATTTATGGGAGTGAGGCACCTAAACATCTTTGCAGATCTAAAGATTGTTAGATTCAACAACCCTGTAACAGGCAAGAAGTACACTGAGACTGGGAGTTGGTAGACAGGAGTTCATCCTGCAAATCATTATGTGTTGAAAACAGTAATACATGCAAGTAGATTTGAGTACTAGTGTTGGTATATAATCGGTCTGCATTTTAAGTAGCTTTCTTCTATCGAAACTTTGCTTGATTACTTTGGAGGCAGATGATGGAGAAGGAATTTGATTAAGCTGAGTTTCTGCCACTACAAATAACTGTTCCTCCTATTTCCTTGATAAACATTTTGGATAACATGCCTCCATAGAACGACAGTCCATTAGCTGGAACCTCAGAACTTCTTGAGAGGACATGAACCTTCTACTCAGTGGCCACTAAAAAACAAAGAACAAAAAGTGTTTAATATTTTCTTTCCCTGGTCTGCCTGGGAGGGAGGGATGATCTGTAATTATCTGACAGATAAAATGAAGTCTGAGAAAATTCTGATGAGGTGACATAACCAGGTGCTCAGTTTTGTTGTAGCAACTAGAGATGCATTGATATATCGGTCATATATCAGATCAGCACCATTAACAGGAAAATTAACATGATCAGCAATCGGCTTTTTTTGGCTGATGTCACTGATAAATGCCTGGCAGCTTGGAGAGCGGCATCCTGCTGGTATGTCTGTGCGGGGGAAGGAGCATGGGGGAAGGAATGGGGTAGAGGGCAGATCAAGGCCCCCGCACTGAGGGAGGGAGTGGGGCAGGGGCAGGCACTGCCCGTCCAGGACATGGGACAGAGCCACAGGCAGCTCATCCGGGAGCTGGAGAGGGAGGGGAATGGCTCCCCGCCACTGTGTGGCCCCCTGGGGTGGGGGGGGGGGGGAGTGGCCCCCCTGCCACTGTGTGGCCCCCTGGGGGTGGTATGGGGGGCATGTGCCCCCCCCCAAAGATTTGTCCATGGGGTGAGGGTGAGCTGCCTGCTGCAGGCTCAGGGCCAGGGGTTGTGCCAGCCTCTTCTTGGCAGGGGGACTGGGCTGGGGCTGTATTCAGGACAGTTGGCAGCAGAGGCACTGGGAGGGGTGGCTATGGGGAATTTTGTGATAGCCATAGCCCCCAAAAGCTCCCCTTAGCACTGCTCCTGCTTAGGGCACTGTGCTCTGCTGCAGCTGAGCCCACCTCACCCTCACTTTCCCTAAGCGCAACCCCGGCCCACTCCTCCTGCTGGGAAGAGGCTGGCATAGCCCCTGGTCTCAAGCCCACAGTGGGCAGCCCACCCTCACCCTGTGCACAAATCCAGAGGGGCACATGCCTCCCATGCCTCCCCTGGGGGGCCACACAACAGCAGGGAGCTGTCCCCCCTCCCCTCCCCCATGCCACCCAGACAAGCCACCTCCA